AAAATAATAATAAATTGTTAAAAAAAAAACAAAGCCCATAGTTCAAATAGAACTACAATTGGTCTGTGATTTCTTGTAACCGTCATTCTCTATCAATTTGGATTTACCCTACTGTATTAGTTACTTGTCTCATTGATGTCATAAAATATCCTGACTAAAGCAACTTAAGGGTGAAAGGATTTATCTTAACCATCAGGGTAGGGATTTCACAGTACAGAGCTTGAGGCAGCTGGTCACATTGCATCCATAATCAGGAAGCAAAGAGTCATGAATGCTGGTGCTCAGCTGGCTTTCTCCTTTATATATATATATATATAATTACAACTGCATATACACATACACATACACATACACATACATATACATACATGTATATACAAAGCTGTTTTTAAATGACTGATTTTCCTTTATGTGTAGAAGTGTTTGGAGGCATGTATGTAAGTGCCCCTGTGCCATGCAATGCCCACGGGGGGTCAGAAGGCAGCAGATCCCTGGAACTACAGTTACTGAAGGTAACTGGAGTTATTGCCCTGGCAAAACCCACACAACTCTTACCTGCTTAGAGCCTGTGTCCAAACAGCTGAAGGTGGTTGGACAGAAACCCATGGGTGTCTAGTTGATAGTATTTATTTATTTATTTTTGGTCTTTTTTGAGACAGGGTCTCCCTGTAGCCCCACCTGTCCTGGAATTCACTATGTAGACCAGGCTGGCCTTGAACTCACAGGGATCCGTCTGCCTCTGCCTCCCAAGTGCTGGGATTAAAGGCGTGCGCCACACACCCGGCTTGGTATTTTAAGATTCAATTAAAAAAAATTTATTTTTACTTTATGTGTATTCGTGTATTGCCTGCATGTAGGTAAGTGCACCCATGTCATGCAATGCCCTCGGAGGTCAGAAGAGGCTGTCGGATCCCCTGGGACTGGAGTTAACGGACAGTTGTTAGCTGCCATGTGGGTGCTGGGATTCGAACCCTGGTCTTCTGCAAGAACAACCAGTGTTCTTAACTGCTGAGCCATCTCGTCAACCCCTTAAGATTCTATTTTTATTTTATATGTATGAGTATTTTGCCTGCATGTATGTATGTGCACCAGAGTGTCCAATGCCCTTGGAGACCAGAGGAGGGTGTCAGATCCCTTTGGAACTAGAATTGTAATCTGTAGATGATTGCTAGCTTCCATGTGGGGGTTGGGAACTGAACCCAGGTCCATCTCTCTGGTTTTAGCTTTCCCCTTTTGTATTCAGTCCAGGACCCATAGAACGGGACTTGCTGGGTCTTCCCATCTCAATTCACCTGTTTACGTAATTCCTCATAAGCAAAGCTAGGTTTGTCTCCTAGGTAAGTCTAGAGCCTGTCAAATTTATAATTAACATTAGCTATCACACATAAATATGTACATCTTATTATGTAGCTAGCCTAGCTGGTATTAAATTGGCAACCTTTATGAATTGCCCTTCTAAGCACCAGGTATGTGTCACCACACTCAGCATTTTTTTTTTTTTAAGAGCATCTATTCATTGTATAGATGGTGGTTTTCATTATGACGTTTTGTGGGGAGGGGCACTTGGTTTTTGAGGCAGAGTCTACCTGTAGCCCTAGCTGGCCTGGAACTCACTATGTAGACCAGGCTAGCCTCGATCTCATAGAGGTTTGTGTGCGTCTGCCTCCTGAGTGCTGGGGTTAAAGGTTGCAGCAGCACAACCTGATCTCATGATGTCCACATGGCATGTTCTTTGCTCATATTCACTCCGCCCCTCCGGTACCCTTTTGTCTCCTCACCCTCTTCCTCCTTTCCTCCTCCCAAAGAGCTCTGTTTTCATGGCGTACATATGTATGTATGTGTAGGAGTACATCACTGATCTAAGTACCAAAAAGTAAATAAAAAAGTCACTACTCAGGCAGCTGTGGTGGTTACCTTTGACTACATAGGGAGCTTGGGGCCAGGACGGGCTACATGAGACCTTATCTCAAAAAAAAATTTTACTTCTTACCTGTACTAAGGTCATTTGACTAACAAGTCTTTGACATTTTAGGAGTCACTAAGGAAAGTAACTCCCAGTTCCTAATGCTGCTGTAAAGAGGATAAGGAAACATTTTCTAATTTGTGTGGAAAGAAAAAGTCCCACTAGATATTTGACCTCTTCAACCTTCAGCAAATTATTTAACTTACTTAAACCCCAGTTCTGTGACCTTTAAAGTGAAGATAATAACAACACACTTCATGGGCTGTTGTCAGGACTAAGTGGGCTAAAGAATGTAACATGCTGGGCCTGGTGCTTTGGGCCTAGTAAGCTTTCAATCATGGTTTAATAGTTTGTTCTTATTAGAAAGGTTATTGTCATTACATTATCAGAGTCTGAACTCCTAGGAAGGAAGTCTGCAAGCTGGCCCACAATTCTTACATGGAATTTTCATTAAATTAATTAGGTTGCTAATTTTATGACATTGGTACTACATTATGCTTTGTAATTATGTGGAATTTGAAGACTTCTAAATGCACATTTGAATAAATAAGTGAAAACACCACCAATTCACAGCACTCAGAAGGTGGAGGCAAGAGGATCAGAAGTTCAGAGTCTGTCCATGAAAATGGCTCAGCGGGCAAAAGCACTTACTGTGCAAGCCTGAGGACCCAAGTTCAAGTTCAGATCCCCAGAACCCATGTAAAAGCTGGACAAGGATTGTCCTCTGCCCGCCACACTCATACTGTGGTATGCATGCACCCTAACACACAAACCCATACAGAAGTAAATAGATAATTTTTTTAAAAGTCCAAGTGTATCCTCCTCCCTGTTACATCAGTCTGGGTTACATGAGACCCTGACTCCAAAAAAAAAAACTGCTGTAACACTGAGTGAGCTTAAATTACCCTTCTTGAGCACCCCTGCATTCTGTCTGGCCCTGTGCTCTATGTGAAAGTCCTTTGACAGGAGGCATATCTTGCTTACTGATTTACCTCCCAGGTACCTCCTGTTAATATCATTTGTTCTATAAGTGCTTCTTTTATATCACATTACTTTTCCCTACCATTTCAATTCATTGATGTATGCCAGTAAACTTTCTGCATAAAGAATAAGTATGCAGAAGCCAGACATGGTGGTGCACTCCTTTAATCCCAGTACAGAGATAGGCAGATCTCTGTGAGATCAAGGCCAGCCTGGTCTACATTGTGAGATCTAGGCCAGCTGGGGCTACAAGGAAGACTGTGTCTCAAAACAAACAAACAAACAAACAAAACAAAAAAAAAGTTTTTAAAACAAAGACTTGCTTGCACATAAGCTTTCATATTACTTGAATGAAGAAAACATTCATCTTTTAAAAAAAACTTTGAGTATTTTTGACTGTGTATTAATATTCTTTTCTGGAAGTGAGTCAAGTCTGAATTAGGAACATAGACATTAATATGCATGCTAAAGTCATGTCATTTGGGGTTCCGTAGGTATGATGGAAATCTCAGTTGAAGATGAATGCTTTGGTTCTTCATGCCTTTGTTAAACTGCACTCAGTTAAGGGGAAATTGTTGAAAAGGCAAGGAATAGTATTATAAATCAGATGCGGTCTCTGGAGACAGAGGATATGTTGACAGGCATTCAGTTTATTCAGAGGAGAAGAAGGTAGGGATAGGAAATCTCTTGGGAACCAGTCAGAAGAAAAGTGTCTTTTAGGCATAGAGGTGATAGGGCTAGGGTCTGTTGCCCTTGGGGTGGAGACTCATTTCCCTGTGGAGTGTGAAACCTGATTGTGAGGTTTCTGCTTTTTTTTCTGCTGTGCCTAGTGCTTCTTGGTATCTTCTTCCCTAGTTTCCAATCTGCTTGAGAGCTAAGGTCGTGCCTGGCTCTTACACACTCCACTCACTCCCACCACCAAACACCTGATTCCCTTTACTTCAGTGCAAAGCCTGCTTGCAGCTGAGTTTTACAAATGCTTTCTACCTCTCTGTCTAGTTTTGCATTTGGGTGAACTAGAGTTAGCTAAATTGGACTTCAATTTGTTCAGATAGAACAGCAAAAACAAATCTACCAGAAGGGTTTACTGTGAGTTTAAAAGCCAATACCATGTATAAATTGCTGAGCATAATGCCACATGTGATTACCACCACCCCTCTTTTTTTGAGACAGGCTCTCCCTGTATATCCGACTGGCCTGGAACTCACCAGGTTGGCCTTGAACCTGCAGTGGATCCTCCTGTCTTTGCTCTCTAGTGCTGAGATTACAGGCATGAGCCATACGCCGACTTGGACTTTCCTTTATAAAATGTTCCTCCCGGAGAGACATTGCATAGATCTTGTTCCTTTTCAGAAACCCCCTCTGCACCTGTGGTTACGGTCTGTTCTTTATCACTTAATGAGACTTTATTATTCTCATCAGATAAGCAGCACAATTGCTTTTCTTTTTTTCCCCCAATTCAGTTTTTGTCACACATTATTTTAAAAAAAATGTTATGACCTGCCCATCAGAATTTGATCTTTAAGGAAATGCTTCCAATCCACTCTGTAGATTCCCCAGGTCCCCAAAGGAGAGGAATCTGTGTCTTAAATCCCTGAAAAGGCAAATTATAACCCTGGTAATAACAAGAGCCACTGGGCAGCCGCCAATCCCGCCCCAGGGACCGGCCGGCTCTGGGGAGATCATTCCCGGCGGGTCAGCCCCGCCGCCCGGAGACTTCTCCATCTCCGGCCGAAGCACCGCCCGGGGGCCGCCCGGAGCTCCGGCCCGCGGCCGGGGAGGGCCAACTCGGCACAAAGACGCTGCCGGGGCGGGGAGCCCATCGCTCAGGTCCCGAAGCTGGGCCGCGCCACCAAGCTTGGCCTTTCCCCTAAGCCTTTCCCTTCTGCTCATTTTATTAAAAAGAAAAAAATCAAAGGTAGAGACAGGGAGAGAACCAGAGAGAAAGAACTCCCGCCCCTAAGCCCGCCCTCTGTCCCCCATTGGCCCGGCCCCCTCTTACGTCACGTAGCAACGCACCAATGGCGAGGCGCGATACTGCGAGGTGGGCCGGGCCCGAGCACGGAGTGGGCGGCGGGTCCGCGCAGCAGCCCCGCGGCTCCGCCACCATCGCTGAGGTGCCGCTTCTCCCACAGACGCTCGCGAGCCGCCCCCCGCGCTCCGCAGCCTCTCAGCCGCGTCGGGCCTCGGTCCCCGCCTCCTTCCCCGCGCCTGGTCCCCTCACGCGCTCGCCACATTGTCTCCGCCTCGTTGAGAGGGGAAAAAAGAAAAGAAAAAAAAAATCACCGTCTCCTGTGGGAGCCCCGCGTTCCTCCGGAAAAAACAAAACGAGACATGGTCCTGGGCCCCTGCTGCTGAACGCTCGGCCCGCCCGCGGAGGTCGACGGCCCGCCCGCCAGGGAAGCCCCGCAAGCCCCGGCGTCGCGACCCCCCGCGGGCCCAGCCCCCTCGGCTCCGCGCCCGACGCCCTCGGCCGCCCGCGGCCTCCTTCCCGGTCCCAGCTACTTTCCCTGGAGTCGGGCCGCCACCCTCTCATTGATGGTGTAGCGCCCGAGGGAGAGGTAAGTCCAACTTGCCGACGCCGCGCCTCTCCCCCCACCCCCCCTAGGGTTCTCGACCAGGCTGGCACGGGCTGGGTGTGGAGGGGATCGCGGGAGGGGCAGGGGGCGGGGGTCCTGTGCGCGCGGGAGATGGCGCTAGGTGCTAGGTGCTTCTGACCCCCTACTCCCTCTGGGCTGCCCGGGCTGCGCTCCTGCCACTCTGAGGTTGAACTGGTTCGTGCCACCCCATGCCGGTCTTGAAGTGTGGGAGGGAAGGAAGTCAAGGACTGGACGCTGTTTATTTCTTGGGCGTTTGTGAATTGGGGGGGTGTTGGAACGGACTCTTATTAAAGTCTCATTTTTTTTTTAACGTTCCTTCTTTGTGTTCTCGAGTCGCTACTTTGTGGTTACAACATGATGGACCAAATATCACTTGCCGCAGCGTAGAATTCTGTCATGTTTTAGTTCCGCTGTCTGAAAGGGTGCCTAATGTGTATTTTTAAGGTTAGGGAAAGAAGGTAGTTTTGCGTAGGGGGAGTGTGTTGGGGCTATTGCAGGAAGGCCCCTTTGAAATTGCTTGCTTGAGAAGTTGTTGAAAGGAAAACAAAATCATTCATTGTTGAATCCCCCCCCCCCCCCCCCGGGTTTGCTTACAATTTCTTGTGGATTGCAGGCTTCAAACATTAAGTAAAACGTGCCCTTGAGAAACTGGGTGCTTTAAATGTTTCAGTATGTGTTGCTATTTTAAGGTAAATTTTTAGAAAGTAGTTTTGTGTGAATCCAGAAATAGCCCTCTCTAAAGCAATTTTTAAAATACACAAAAAAGCTAACTAGTGAGGATGAACTTGGTGGATTACAAGAGGGACATTTAAGTAACATAAACGAACACATCCTGTGTTTAGATTTGAAACAGTTTTTATGATCGTTTTCCATTTAAAGAGAGACCTTTTTGTCTGGTGTACACTGGTTTCTTTAGTCTCAGTCCGATGGGGGAGGGGAGAGAGGCTGGATCTATACAATAATAAAATCATCTTTGGCTAGGTATTTCCTCCATGGGTTTGCTTGCAGAGTTAATTCCACTCTGAATTACAAACCAGTTTTGATTTTGGTGGCCTAGCCTGCCTGGAAGCTGATTCCCAGCTTTCTGTGTTGGTGTTGAGGTTGAAGGGAAAAGAGGCAGAAGCAGATACACAGACACACACGCGCACACACACGCACAATACCAGGCTGAGGGTTCATTGTTCTTCCACACACACATTCATTCTCTCCCATATTTGGGACTAGGTTTGCACAGACAAACACAGCTCTCTTTGGGAGGACAGAAGATGGGGGAAGGGAAGGTGCTTTTCTTTCTCAGCTTGCTTTCACCCGGCTCATGCCTGGCGTTTTCTGCAACCTTTCGAGGCAGAAGACTGCACGGGAAACTAAAGGACACCCAGAAACACGTCCCTTCTCTTTGCAGCCCACTTCCTGCTGCTTGCTTTTGTATGTGTAAAGATAAACTCCGCGTGGTGACCTCACATTCAGTTCTATTTTCACACTCTTCATTACCCCTGACTTTGCTGGGGACAGGGATTTGTTCACTTGACTCTTACTTTAGTGAGTGTGACCAGGGTCTTTTTAATTAGAAATAGGTTGCTTCAGTTAAAAGGAAAAAGGTTGTATTTGAGATTAATATTTAGCAGTATTTCCTGTGTGTGTGTTTGATGGTCAAGTTTGCAGGTTCTTGACCTATCAGTGTAGTTTTTTTTTTAAATTATAGATATGTTTTTTTTTTTTTGTCTTTTTGAAGCAGGGTCTCCCTGTAGCCCCAGTTGTCCTGGAACTCACTATGTAGACCTTGAACTCACAGAGATCCGCCTGCCTCTGCCTCCCAAGTGCTGGGACTACAGGCGTGCGCCACCACGCCCGGCTATAAATACGGGTTTTAAGAAACGATCTTTTGTTTTTGGATGGGAGTTGGGGTAGAGGTTCTTTGAAACACTGGACTGGACGGGACTGAGAGTCCACCTGGGTAAACGCAGCTCTGGGCCAAGGATCAGGTTAGTGTGAATACTTGTGGGTTGCAGAATAGCACCTTCTACCGGTTAATTGCTTTGCCATCCAGTGAAGAGGATGGGGGAGGGGATTAACGGCTGAGGCTTAATGATTTTCTTTTAAACGCAGCCGCTGTGCGTTTCTGCAAATGCCACTTCTCGGGGCTGCTGATACAGATGCCCTTTGACAGGCACACTTGCATCACAGCCCTATTATGTTATTGGCTGTGTCTTGACATTAATTTGTTCTGTTAGAGGTATTTTCATATTATGACTTCCAAGGACTCCTTTGAATTGATACTCTTCCTTTTTTTTTTCTTAAATGAGAAATGTAATTTGTCTTGAAACAGCAAACAAAATAAGGGGCTTATTTGCATTCCAGGTGTTGGAAGCTATATACCTGGTAGCTCTTTAAGAAAGTTTTTAGTGCCATTAAAAAGAAGCCCAAAATCTGTCCTATAGAAAGTAAAATCCTAGCACTGGACTTAGAGATTTCCTTGGGGATTTGACCCCTATTAGAGAGGTGGTGGGTAAATTTGACTAAAATCGGCAATTCTCATTGCTCATATAATAGTGTTGCATTGCAATAATGTTTTCAATAGTCGTAAGGACATTAATAAAAATAAGTCTGATAGGATGGCTTGTGGATTAGATTTTTTTAAAACTGGAGACCTGTAAAAATTTGAAATGAGTGCGTATAGACATATTAACTTTACAGAAGAGGGCTGTGTTCCTGCTCATTCTTTTGAACCAAGCTGCAGCTCCAGAAGGAATCCCCTTGATAAATGCCTTGTAGGACTTTATCATTGTGGATCCTAACACATGCCAGTTGTTTTAATGTAACTTCCTAATGTGCTTGCTGATTAACTTTAGCTCCAAAACTTGAAACATAATCTCTAAAGTTGTGTGTCTTTTACAGTGAAGTGTGAACAGTTCAAATGTTATTTATTTAGCGGGAATAGAATCACATCTCTACCAATGTTTTTCTGAAAACAGCTATAGTAACTGGAAACCAGTTTGAACTAAAAAGATAATCCAAATCAAGAAATAAAATATTTCAGTTACTTTTTCAACTTCAACTTCTTGGTCAATGAACAGTTTTTTAAAAAATGATAAGGCAGGCCGGGCGTGGTGGCACATGCCTTTACTCTTTACTCCCAGCACTTGGGAGGCAGAGGCAGGCAGAGCTCTGTGAGTTCAAGGCCAGCCTGGTCTACATAGTGAGTTCCAGGGCAGCTGGGGCTACAGGGAGACCCTGTCTCAAAAAGATTGGAAGAAAAGAAAAGATGAGGCAGGCTGGGTGAGTTCAGGGCCAGCCTCGTCTACATAGTCATTTCCAGACTAGCTCAGGTTACATGGAGAGACCCTGTATCCAAAAAGACAAAAAAAAAAATAAATAAATAAAAATAAAGTAAGTAAAAAAGATGAGGCAAGAATCACTGCCAGATCCTGCAGTAATTATGTTAATGTTGAATTGCTGCTGCATAGCAGTGCCAGGTGCTGTAAAAACACGTTCAAACAGAAGATTGTGGTCTGTGCCCTCCTAAACCCTGTGTGTGCAGAATATTATGATGGATACCTTAAGCATCCATTACTTTAAAATTGGTTTTGAATTTTTAACATCTTGTTCAAATCTCAGTAATCAAAAAAACATTTAAGTAATAAAATAAGTTGTATATGTTAAGTTCTTTGGGGAATAGTATGCTTTCCTACTAACTGCTTTTGGCAGAGACTTTTGTAGTTGATTTAAAGGTTAAGATAGCAGGAAATTCTAATTTTTAAGTGAATCATTAGTGTAACCTAGCTGTGAACTTCATTTCTCTCTCAGTCTCTCTCTCTCTCTCTCTCTCTCTCTCTCTCTCTCTCTCTCTCTCACTACCCTATTGTCCTGTGTAATAAATTTCTGATAACACTGAACTCT